ATTAGTTGAATATGCAGAATGCTTCTATGTGTAAGTGTATAAAATATACAAATTATTTTATAAAATGATTTTATTATCTTTCTATAAAAAATATTTAGCAGAGGCATGGGGTTATTCCTTGAATAATATTGATTATGTGAACTAATATATGCTCACTGTCATATTTACACCATAAGAGTTAAAAGGATATGTTGTTTTGAGTTGGATTTCTTACTACAATAAGAGCCATCATTGCAAAGTAAAAAATAAAATAAAATAAAAAACAAAAACGAAAAACAGAAATTAGAATGACATTTACGTCCTTTTCTTTATAGCTTACTAAATCTATGTCCAAGAAATAGTACGAGATACTTATTTTTTAGCTGGGTACAAAAATATCTTCTTAACAGGACGATGGTGAGGATTAGAAATAATATATAGAGAGTACCTACTGTTGTTGTTCTGGTAGCGTAGTAGTTACAAATCGGGCTGTGAACCTCAGGGTCAGCAGTTCGAAACTACCAGCTGTTCTGCAGGAGAAAGATGAGGCGTTCTGCTCCCGTAAAGATTTACAGCCTCGGAAACCCTGTATAGGGTCACTATGAGCGGGAACCGACTCCACGGCACATAACAACAACAACAACTGTTCTGGTAAGTGCCGTCGAGTGAGTTCTGCCTCATAGCGACTCGGTATAGGGTTTCCAAAGATCAGCTGGTAGTTTGAACCCCCGAGCTTGCAGTTCAAACTGAGCTTGCAGTCAAGTGCGTTGTCCTGAAGCACTACAACTGGACTCCAATACGTTGACTCAAATATAATGGGCATTTGTTTTATATGTAAGTTTCTTTTTAAAATTATCTGAAGTTAGACTGCACCTGAGTGATGATATACTCTAGTGGCACAAAACTGATAATAATTATAATGCAAGATTTTGGATTTAATGAAGAATTTATCTTCAATACAGTTTTGTTGTGTTTTGTTTTTTTTTTTCTTTTTTTTAATTATGCATTTTGTCCTAATTCTTTGTAAGCATTGTGTGTGTGATTACTAATCAGAGGAAGAAAGACACAACATATTGCTTTCTCCAAATTATTCCTTTCAGAAAAGCAAACAGAAATTTCTTATCATATAACAGCTACAGAAGAATTGAAACCAGTAAAGAATTAATGTCATCACTTGTTTAAATTATAATTAATTATTAAAGAGGTGCATTTTACAATTCAACTATCATTTTTACACTTCTCAATAGCCTGTAATAGAACTCTGATAAAAAGGCAAGGACAGCAGTCAATTTACTACTTAAGAAAAAAAAAAAAATTGCCTCTGATCAATATAAAAAAATCTTAAAATTGATATGTGTTTTTATTTTATTCATGTACTTCTACTCTTCACACAATGAAAAGAGGTTGAATGGTTGAATAGTAACTCAGTTTGAATATGTGGTTTATGAAAAGAACAAAATTGAATAAATCCAAGTGTTATTGTTGTTAAGTGCCATCTAGTCAGTTCCAAATCATAGTGACTCTGTGTGGGTTTCCAAGGTGTGGTTACTGAGTTTGAACTGCAGACCTTGTGGTTCAAACCACCCTTGCAGCCCAGCACATTATCCTGCAGCACCACACCATAAGGTAAATGATACAGCAACATAATATAAAAATAGAAATATCTTATATCAACCATCTATCCTTCAGTTTTACAGATTCTAGTGCAGGGATGGATTTTGAAACACCAGGTGACCCAGATAACGAATTTTTGCATGTAGATTTCTAAAACATTAGCAAATCTTGCTTTTCACTTTAGATGTCCAAAAGATGAAACCACCAAAACAAATTGCAATCATCCAGCAAAGATATATTTTCAACTTTTATTCATTTAGCAAGGACTTGGGATACTAATCTTCAGTCTCCCCAACTCACACCACACACCACCAACCTTCACTGTTTAAATATTCAAGGAGGCGTTCTTATTTATGAGGGAAAATGAATTGGAGTTGACTCAATGGCAACTGGTAGACATAGAAACCATACAACATATTTTATCTTTTATGTTATTTTATTTCATACAGCAATCCTGTGAGGTAAGTCTTGCTTTCTATATTTTACAGAAAAGATAAGTGACGTTCAGTTAAATATCTTTCTTAAATGTACACAGTGATTACGTTTGGAATCAAAGTCAGGTTGTTGTTTTTTTTATACATTGCTTCCCGGAGTTTCTTGGGTAGTGGAAAATAATTGCATGATTTCTTCACTCATTTCCTTACATAGATAGATAAGAATGTTAAATTATATTCTGAGAGCTTTGCTGTTGGTTTTAAGTAGAATAAATTATTATTATGTTATAATATATTTAAGAGTCTTGTGTTTATCACTGGGAGAAAGTGTGTATCATAGCTATTAAGTTACAGCAAAATTTTTAACATAGTCTATTATTAAATCTACTCAGCTAAACAGCTCAAAGTTTAAATAAGAAAAAAAAAAGTATTCCTATGTCAAACTGGTTTTTGTTTTATTTTTGCTGTGCATAATTTATCAAGAGCTTTCTTTTTGCTCATAGGAATGACTTGTCAAGCTCGAACATCATACACTGAAGATGAAGTTCTTTGGGGTCACCGTTTTTTTCCTGTGATTTCCTTAGAGGAAGGATTCTTTAAAGTTGATTACTCCCAATTCCATGCAACATTTGAAGTCCCCACCCCACCTTACAGTGTGAAAGAACAGGAGGAAATGCTTCTTATGTCATCCCCTTTAATAGCACCAGCCATAGCCAACAGCAAAGAAAGACACAATTCTGTGGAATGCTTAGATGGCCTAGATGACATTAGTACAAAGCTTCCATCTAAGCTGCAGAAAATGACTGGAAGAGAAGACTTCCCCAAAAAACTCTTGAGAATGAGTTCTACAACTTCAGAAAAAGCTTACAGCTTGGGAGATTTACCTATGAAACTTCAGAGAATAAGTTCAGTTCCTGGCAACTCAGAAGAAAAACTGGTATCTAAAACCACCAAGATGTTATCTGATCCCATAAGTCAGTCTGTGGCTGATTTGCCACCAAAGCTTCAAAAGATGGCTGGAGGAGCAGTCAGAATGGAAGGGAATCTTCCAGCCAAATTAAGAAAAATGAACTCTGACCGATTTACATAACACAACACCCCCTTAGGCATTATTTAATGTTTGATTTAGTTATAGTCCAATATTTGGTCGATGAGGTAATCCTCCCTAAGGAATATGAAAGGTACAACAACCACCCTCCCCAAGTTCTATATGCATATTTGAGACTCTTTCTTTCCCAAGTATTACTACTGTGCAAAGAGGGAAATTATGAAGGGAGGACATTGTAAGGACGTTCTTACCAACAGGCATGTATTATCACATCAAGCATGCAATAATGTGCAGATTTTGCATTTAGTTTTATGGCATGATTTATATATGGCATATTTATATTGTGTATTCTGGAAAAATATATATATTTAAAGGGGTGGTATTCTCCCTAATATTTCTAACACATATATTAAGCCAAACATGAATGGATAGCTTTCAGGGTG